GCATAGTACCCGACAGCGCTCGCCATGTGGTCCGAAATCACTTCGACGAGATCACGGGCCAGAACGCTACGCAAACACCGAGGCAAGCGGTCAGTATCCCCTTGAAACGAGTCGTTTGTAACCAGTCCGCGCACTCAGAGCGTACCCAAAGTAAATGCCGTAGAACATGATCGTGACAGCGGCACCAAACACTTCGGGCGCATCGGTGAAGAGCGCCGTGACTCCAAAGAAGGTCAGGACCATGAGCACGTAGCCGAAGATCCCGAGCGCATAGGACAGCTGGTAGATGACGGCAAACCACCGATAGACGAGCTTGGGCGTATTGCTCGAGATTGGGCGGCGCGAAGCGCGGAAAATGACTATTCAGCGGCGCCCGTGAGCGCCGTGCCCAGTATCGAAGCACAATGATCCAAAATGCGTCGCATACCCCACCCGTTCGCGACCGCAAACAGCACCCAGATCGTGACGAACCGCGAGAACCCGGCCGACACGGCGAGCGCAAGCGGGACCGTGATGAGCCCCGCAAGACTCACATAGGTAAACGCCTTGGGCCGGCGTTTGCGCCACTCGAGCAGCAGCACTTGTACGCCAATCAGGGCCACCATCAGAATCAGCACCATCAGCAGGTGCTGCCCGTCGTGGCCCGCGTGCTTCGCGAGGTAGGCGCGCTCCTCTTCAGAGAGCGCCGCGAGTTCCGCGTCTTGAAAGCCCACGGGGGCGCCACCAGCGGGCGCCGGCGCGTCGACGAGCTCGTGCGGCATGTGCCGTGCCGGGTGCGGCAGGTCGGGCAGCTCGAAATTCGGGTCGGACATGGCAGATGCTGAAGTGGCGTTGGAGGTTTGGCGAGCGGCAGTCGAGTCTGGGTCCAAGTCGACGGTAGCAGCGGCGCGCGTGCGATGCGCCAAGTGGAGAGTGCGGACGAGCCGGGCAGCAAAGACGGCGTCGTCGTCGCCGTCGTCGAGTTGGCTGGAGGATCTGTGATCGGGAATCGGCTGGTTGGTCAGTCGAAAAATCAGCAGAGCAAAAAGTCGCCACGTCGCCGCCGGCGTGCCCCCCACGTGTGAAGCCGGGAGGCAGCGTAATCGAGTCGCAATACACTTGATCCTGTATCGGCAACTCGAACGAGATCAGAACAATGATCCCGAATATGGACAACGGATATCAGAAATAACACAATAGAGGGGAGCGAGAGAAAAGGGCGGAGACCGAGGAAACGGACCTGTATCAGCAACTCGAACGAGATGCCGAAACAGGAAGGCGGGATGCAGCCAAACTTGTGGAGACGAGAAAGAACAGGGGCGAAGACAGGTCAGGAGGACTGGAAGAGGAAAGCGGTTGCGGCCACAGCAGACTAAAGCAAAAGCGACCAAACCAACCAAAAAGACGAGAGTCATAAAGCGAAAATTGAGAGCCCATGATCCAGCAACAAATCTAAGAATTGATGAAGCATTGCGCATCGAGGACGCGCCGCTGACGCTGACAAGGCCGTCGCGACACACGTCTCGCACGCCGAGGGTGTGCGGGTCAGGTTACGCGGCAAGAAGTCACGCGGCAAGAAGTTACGCATCCTCTCCAGTCTCTCATCCCCCATTCCTGGATCCCGCATCCCCTCCTCTGCACCAATGAATCCGATCCAATCCGCTCACCAACCTGATCAAACACACGAGCGCGCAACCCAACGACGTTCATTCGCAGCACCGTGCCCAATCCCTCTCGTGCCCCCACACTGGCGCGTGCTCACGCGCCCGACCTGTCCGTGCCAATAATGTCCCCAAAGACCACACCCGCCCGCTCCAAGTCTCTCGCCCCCCCATCCTTCCCTCACTGAGGCCGCGCCGGTGTCGCCGGCCCCGACTGCATCCCGCCCGGCGCCGACGCGCGACTCGCGCGCTTGAGCAACGACCGCGGATCAAATGTGCCGTCGGCATTCGGTCGAATCTCGCCGAGTGCCGCCGGATCGCGCGGTGGTGGTGGTGGTGGTGGAACGCGTCGCGCTCCGGTGGGGAACAGCGTGCGCACGGCGCCGAGCCCGGGACCGGACGCGTCTTGGTCGTCGTTTTCCGGGGCCGCCGTCGCTGCGCGGCGCAACCCGCTGCGCAAATTCGCTGCGGGACCCGACGCGGCCGTGGGCCGCAGCGTCGGCAAGCTCCCCGTCGTGCCATTGCCCAACGACGGCGGCGCGTCCCACTCCTGATCCTTCTCCGCCGACCACGACCGCGTTCGCTCCCTCTCCCTGACATCCGGCGAATCCGGCGGGTTCGCGGCGACAAACCGCAGCATCATTGCGCGCCGCAGCACGTCGTGCGGGTGCTGCGACTCGACGGGCAGCGGCCCTGCGTTCGCGTTGGCGCGCGCGCGGAGCCGGTCGTCGCGCAGCGCCGCGAAAATCGGTCGTACTGGGGCTTCTTCTTCAGCTGCAACGGCGCGCATTTTCCGCGAGCATTTTGATCGTGCGAACGAACTCC